ACACTCCACACTCCACACTTTTACCTCCACACTCTGCACTTTACGCTCCACACTTTACACTCCACACTTTACACTCCACACTTTACACTCCCCACTTAACACTCCACACTTTACACCCTACACTTTACACTCCACACTTCGCACTTTACCCTCAACACTTTACACTCCACACTTCACACTTTACACTCAACACTTTACACTCCACACTCTACACTCCACACTTTACACTCCTCACTTTGTACTCTACGCTTTACACTCCACACTTTACACTCCACAGTTTAATGTCCATTCGTTACACTCCTCACTTTGTACTCTACACTTTACACTCCACACTTTACACTCCACAGTTGCATGTCCATTCTTTGCACTCCACGCTTTGTACTCCACACTCCACACTCTACACTCCACACTTTCGACTCCACACTTTACACTCCACGCTTTACGCTCCAAAGTTTGCACTCCACGCTTTGCGCTCTACACTTGACACTCCACACCCTACACTTCACACTCCCAACTTTCGACTCCACACTCTACACTTTACACTCCACACTTTACACTCTACACTCCACACTCAACATTACACTCCACACTTTACACTCCACACTTTACACTCTACACTTTACACTCTACACTTTACACTCTACACTTTAGACTCCACACTCTACACTTTGCACTCCACACTTGACACTGTACACTCCACACTCCACACTCCGGACTCCCCTTTACGCTCCACACTTTCCATTCCACCCTCTACACTCCAACACTCCACAACACATTACACTCCACACTTTACACTTCCCCCTTTTAGACTCCACATTTTCTGCTCTACACTTTACACTCCGCCCTTTACACTCCACACTTTCCACTCCACACTTTCCACTCTACACTTGGTACTTGTACTCCACACTCTACACTCCACACTCCACACTTCAGTCTCACAGTCTACAATTGACACTCTCCGCACTCACACTCTACACTCCACACTTCATACTCCACATTTTACACTCCACACTCTACACGTGGATCGAAAAAACTAACCCCTGTTCGGGGTTCTCCTTGTTCCGGAGACTACGTACTGTTTGCTGAGCGCCCGACCGGCCCTTGTTCAGGGCTCTCCTTGTTCAGGAGATGCCAGGGGTCGGCGGCAGGGGGCGGCAGCCCTTAAATTATTCATTTATACGAAGCATTCATGATTTCATAAAAAGACATCTTTGAAACTGGAAAAAACATGCAGCATTGAGTGACATCAGCATGATGTCTTGCACAGCACAGGGTTGAAATCAGATCATCGAATGAAAATTGGAATAGATCATCGATGCAAAATTGAAATTGGATCATCCAACAAAAAAAATGAAGATTTCACAAATAACAGCAAATGACCAACAGATCTGAGGCTCGAATGTCATCTGAGATGTTGCCCTTGGCGAGGTTCAATGGGTCTCCGTAGTTGCCTGGGTCCTCAGGATCCTCCTTCCAGGGAGAAAGGCCAATGTCAAAGCAACCAATCGCACCGACCAAGAGCCACAGCGCATTGCTTCCTGGTTCACTCCACTGGGCTGAAAGGCCTGAAGGAACATTCTCGAAGCCAGGAAACTTGTAGACACTCTGCACCAACAGACCAACGGCTCCCATCATGGCTCCTCGAGCGTGCCTGATCTCGTAGGCACGGAGCTTCTTGAATCCCTTCTCATCAATGCCGTTGCAAAATCCTGCTGGGTCAAAAAAGCCGAGGGGTCTTGTGGCACCCACCTGTGTGCTTGGATCAAAGGCCTGGCACTGCACAGCGCCAGCAGCCCGGGTTGGCCGCTTGCCAGTCACAAAGGATGCTACGGCAGTCACAGCAGCTGCACCCAGCACTCCTGCAGCTGCAGTCGAGCTTTGCGTAGTCTTGGGCGCTGAGTGGGAGACTTCGGCCCCGCGCAACTGGGAAGCTGGGCTTGAAGTGCTTGGGGCCAAAAAGGCCGGGGCAGCAAGCGCCCCAACGGCGACCGCGGCGACACCAAGTCGGCTCATGACTAGCAGGTGCAACGTTTGCCCCCTTTCCTAAAAAAAATACTTGGGCCAAGTACGATCCACAAGCATCCATGCAGGCAAATGCCTGTAATTCATTGCAATTCCTCATTTCAAGAAAGGAGAAAGCAGCCTGTCAAGTTTGTGCCCGTTTCTGAGATTCATTGCAGACCAAAGGAATGTCATCAACACACTTGGAGTGCCAGATCTCTTTTAAGCTCTCACCTCATTTGCTCCCTGACGTGAACACTGCTCAGGCGACTCAAGCAGTCCTGGCAGCAAAGGTGGATGGATCGATTCTTTGAAAGTTGGGAGGAAGCCAGTTTTGGACAAAAGTTCATGGCACAAGACACACTAGTTCTTACATACTAGTTCTTACACACCGCTGATTCTAAAGAGAATCCTTCAGAATTTCCATGGGCTCACTGGATGAAATGACAATAGCAATTGCAATGCATGTGCTACACATGCTCGGTCCAGCCTGTGCATGAAGATCATGAAGTCCAGGAAAGAGTCAGAATTGAAAATAACTAGCCTGCACAATTGTGCAGAAAAAACATAAATATACTCAAGCAACCATTTTTGACTCCATCCGTTCAAAAAATGGTCTGCCGGTCGCAAACATCAACGCGCTTGCACTGTGTTTTTTTCACCCAAAAAGACGGAGGGAAAGTGGAGTGGTTGGATTGCTAAGCACCTAGAGACCCAGCTGTGCTGGAAGATCAGAAAACTTCTCGCCAAAGACGCTCTCCTGAACACACATACCAATGGTAGCCATCATCGCCAGGCGACCATTGGAAAGCTCCTTGGTCTGCATCTCTTTCATGTCCTTGACACCGAAAATCTCAGCAAAGTCGCAAGGGTCGCCAAAGTTGCCAGGTTCCTTGGCAAAGGCATCTGCCCAAGGACCAGTCTCCAGGAAGGCACAGAAAAAGGTCAATGCCACACAACCCTTGGCTCCAATCGGATCTTGGAAGCCAGCAATCCCAGCAGGCGCTCCCAAGGGTGTGGCCCAGTGCCCTGCAAAGGCTCCCATAATGGCAAGCATCGCCACCCGCCCATGTTTCACTTCAGCGGCACGGAACTTGTCGAAGCGCTCCTGAGAGCCACTCAGGCCAAGAGGATCGAAGTAGCCCAGGGGAGCAATTGCTCCTGGCAGAGAGGCTCCATCAAAGGCCCTGCGGCTCTGTCGGCTCTGTTGTGCACGCTCGCGCTTGGCCAGCGATTTGCCACAGAAGGCACCACCCTGAACAGCTGCCTTCACAGGAGCAGTAGCAAACTGGCCAATGGCTGAGTTGCCAGTGTACAGCTCCGCGCTCACAATTCCGAGAAAGGCGAACATCGCAAAACGACCGTTGTTCAGCTCACGATTTCCTCGTCTGCTTCTGCCCCTCCACTCACCCAACGCTTCCGTAAACACCATATCCAGAACTGACAAACACATACATTGCATGTAAATTTGTGTATACAATTGTATACCTCTGTACATATAACACAGTACATGTGTACATATTTTTATGTACATATTACATTATTATTCATTTATACGAAGCATTCATGATTTCATAAAAAGACATCTTTGAAACTGGAAAAAACATGCAGCATTGAGTGACATCAGCATGATGTCTTGCACAGCACAGGGTTGAAATCAGATCATCGAATGAAAATTGGAATAGATCATCGATGCAAAATTGAAATTGGATCATCCAACAAAAAAAAATGAAGATTTCATAAATAACAGCAAATGACCAACAGATCTGAGGCTCGAATGTCATCTGAGATGTTGCCCTTGGCGAGGTTCAATGGGTCTCCGTAGTTGCCTGGGTCCTCAGGATCCTCCTTCCAGGGAGAAAGGCCAATGTCAAAGCAACCAATCGCACCGACCAAGAGCCACAGCGCATTGCTTCCTGGTTCACTCCACTGGGCTGAAAGGCCTGAAGGAACATTCTCGAAGCCAGGAAACTTGTAGACACTCTGCACCAACAGACCAACGGCTCCCATCATGGCTCCTCGAGCGTGCCTGATCTCGTAGGCACGGAGCTTCTTGAATCCCTTCTCATCAATGCCGTTGCAAAATCCTGCTGGGTCAAAAAAGCCGAGGGGTCTTGTGGCACCCACCTGTGTGCTTGGATCAAAGGCCTGGCACTGCACAGCGCCGGCAGCCCGGGTTGGCCGCTTGCCAGTCACAAAGGATGCTACGGCAGTCACAGCAGCTGCACCCAGCACTCCTGCAGCTGCAGTCGAGCTTTGCGTAGTCTTGGGCGCTGAGTGGGAGACTTCGGCCCCGCGCAACTGGGAAGCTGGGCTTGAAGTGCTTGGGGCCAAAAAGGCCGGGGCAGCAAGCGCCCCAACGGCGACCGCGGCGACACCAAGTCGGCTCATGACTAGCAGGTGCAACGTTTGCCCCCTTTCCTAAAAAAAATACTTGGGCCAAGTACGATCCACAAGCATCCATGCAGGCAAATGCCTGTAATTCATTGCAATTCCTCATTTCAAGAAAGGAGAAAGCAGCCTGTCAAGTTTGTGCCCGTTTCTGAGATTCATTGCAGACCAAAGGAATGTCATCAACACACTTGGAGTGCCAGATCTCTTAAGCTCTCACCTCATTTGCTCCCTGACGTGAACACTGCTCAGGCGACTCAAGCAGTCCTGGCAGCAAATGCCAAGGCCAAACTGGTCCTTTCGAAGACGCAACATACAATTTGTAAGGAAGCCAAGTCTTCTGGAAGATGCATAGAAGTTCATGGCATAAGACCAGTTCTTACACACCAGTTCTTACACGCCGCTGATTCTAAGCAGAATGCTTAGTCACAGACAGTGTTGCGGGAAAAAAGCCTTAAGAATTTCTATGTGTCCATTGGATGAAATGATAACACGTGCTCAGTCCAGCCTGTGCATGAAGATCATGAAGTCCAGGAAAGAGTCAGAATTGAAAATAACTAGCCTGCACAATTGTGCAGAAAAATCATAAATATACTCAAGCAACCATTTTTGACTCCATCCGTTCAAAAAATGGTCTGCCGGTCGCAAACATCAACGCGCTTGCACTGTGTTTTTTTCACCCAAAAAGACGGAGGGAAAGTGGAGTGGTTGGATTGCTAAGCACCTAGAGACCCAGCTGTGCTGGAAGATCAGAAAACTTCTCGCCAAAGACGCTCTCCTGAACACACATACCAATGGTAGCCATCATCGCCAGGCGACCATTGGAAAGCTCCTTGGTCTGCATCTCTTTCATGTCCTTGACACCGAAAATCTCAGCAAAGTCGCAAGGGTCGCCAAAGTTGCCAGGTTCCTTGGCAAAGGCATCTGCCCAAGGACCAGTCTCCAGGAAGGCACAGAAAAAGGTCAATGCCACACAACCCTTGGCTCCAATCGGATCTTGGAAGCCAGCAATCCCAGCAGGCGCTCCCAAGGGTGTGGCCCAGTGCCCTGCAAAGGCTCCCATAATGGCAAGCATCGCCACCCGCCCATGTTTCACTTCAGCGGCACGGAACTTGTCGAAGCGCTCCTGAGAGCCACTCAGGCCAAGAGGATCGAAGTAGCCCAGGGGAGCAATTGCTCCTGGCAGAGAGGCTCCATCAAAGGCCCTGCGGCTCTGTCGGCTCTGTTGTGCACGCTCGCGCTTGGCCAGCGATTTGCCACAGAAGGCACCACCCTGAACAGCTGCCTTCACAGGAGCAGTAGCAAACTGGCCAATGGCTGAGTTGCCAGTGTACAGCTCCGCGCTCACAATTCCGAGAAAGGCGAACATCGCAAAACGACCGTTGTTCAGCTCACGATTTCCTCGTCTGCTTCTGCCCCTCCACTCACCCAACGCTTCCGTAAACCCATATCCAGAACTGACAAACACATACATTGCATGTAAATTTGTGTATACAATTGTATACCTCTGTACATATAACACAGTACATGTGTACATATTTTATGTACATATTACATTATTATTCATTTATACGAAGCATTCATGATTTCATAAAAAGACATCTTTGAAACTGGAAAAAACATGCAGCATTGAGTGACATCAGCATGATGTCTTGCACAGCACAGGGTTGAAATCAGATCATCGAATGAAAATTGGAATAGATCATCGATGCAAAATTGAAATTGGATCATCCAACAAAAAAAAATGAAGATTTCATAAATAACAGCAAATGACCAACAGATCTGAGGCTCGAATGTCATCTGAGATGTTGCCCTTGGCGAGGTTCAATGGGTCTCCGTAGTTGCCTGGGTCCTCAGGATCCTCCTTCCAGGGAGAAAGGCCAATGTCAAAGCAACCAATCGCACCGACCAAGAGCCACAGCGCATTGCTTCCTGGTTCACTCCACTGGGCTGAAAGGCCTGAAGGAACATTCTCGAAGCCAGGAAACTTGTAGACACTCTGCACCAACAGACCAACGGCTCCCATCATGGCTCCTCGAGCGTGCCTGATCTCGTAGGCACGGAGCTTCTTGAATCCCTTCTCATCAATGCCGTTGCAAAATCCTGCTGGGTCAAAAAAGCCGAGGGGTCTTGTGGCACCCACCTGTGTGCTTGGATCAAAGGCCTGGCACTGCACAGCGCCGGCAGCCCGGGTTGGCCGCTTGCCAGTCACAAAGGATGCTACGGCAGTCACAGCAGCTGCACCCAGCACTCCTGCAGCTGCAGTCGAGCTTTGCGTAGTCTTGGGCGCTGAGTGGGAGACTTCGGCCCCGCGCAACTGGGAAGCTGGGCTTGAAGTGCTTGGGGCCAAAAAGGCCGGGGCAGCAAGCGCCCCAACGGCGACCGCGGCGACACCAAGTCGGCTCATGACTAGCAGGTGCAACGTTTGCCCCCTTTCCTAAAAAAATACTTGGGCCAAGTACGATCCACAAGCATCCATGCAGGCAAATGCCTGTAATTCATTGCAATTCCTCATTTCAAGAAAGGAGAAAGCAGCCTGTCAAGTTTGTGCCTTTGAGATTCATCCCAGTGACTGGTTTCCAAAAGGTGATCCACCACACCTGTGCATGGTTTCCGCATGGAGGACCACTCTTGCCAGACCTTGGGCATGAAGGCCCAGGAGATCATCGCTACGGATCTGGAGTCATGTGCGAACAATACATTACCTAGATACAAATATGCATATTCTATGTGTATATCTATTTATGCACATATATATATATATAATGTACATAATGTATATGTGGATGTGGATGTGTATAAGTATATATGTGTTTATTTGTGATTATATATGTGTATATGTGCATATGTGCATATGTGTGTATGTGTATGGGCATGTATACATATAATAGTTTGAGTTCTAATGAGTTATATATATATAATATATACATATATATATATATATTCATTTATATTTAAATTTATATTTTTATTTATATGCTGTACCTATGTATGCATATATATAATATATACTGTATGTATATTTTCCTATATATAATGTAATGTAGTACATGTAGACATAAAATACCATGAAATTGGATCAATGACTTGGACAGAAAATAGGACGTAAGAAGGCACAGTTTCGACCCTCATCCCATCCATTCAGGGCGTCGGCTGTGCTGCAGGTCACTGCCACGGACACATCATGGGAACCTCCAGTAGAAATCGTTGACAAATTTCATTCCGGGCAAGGTGCGCATTAAGTATGTTCATGCCACCTGTAAAACATCATTCAGTTGGTGCATCATCGTCATCATCATCATCATCGTCGTCGTCGTCGTCATCATCGTCGCCCTCGTCGTCGTCGTAGTCATCATCCACCTCCTCCTCCTCCTCCTCCTCATCATCATCATCATGACCATCTTCATCATGACCTCATCATGTCCTCATCATGTTTTCATCATGTCCTCATCATGTCCTCATCGTGTCCTCATCGTGTCTTCATCGTGTCCTCATCATGTCCTCATCGTGTCCTCATCGTGTCCTCATGGTGTCCTCATCATGTCCTCATCGTGTCTTCATCGTGTCTTCATCGTGTCCACATCGTGTCCTCATCGTGTCCTCATCGTGTCCTCATGGTGTCCTCATCATGTCCTCATCGTGTCTTCATCGTGTCTTCATCGTGTCCTTATCGTGTCTTCATCGTGTCCTCATCGTGTCCTCATCGTGTCCTCATCGTGTCCTCATCGTGTCCTCATCGTGTCCTCATCGTGTCATCATCCTCATCATCTTCATCCTCATCCGCATATGTGAAACCAGCATGGGCACCACATACGGAATGTCAGCTTTATCTTCGAGCCGTTATTACCGTTACCACCTCATGTTTGAGGTGCCAGGTCCAAATGCCAGGGCATCTAAGCGGCAAAAACATGTTGCGATGGCTGCGCTAGTTGCCATGAAAGTGGTCATAAAATAGTCCTTAGGACATGACAAAAATTGATCGACATAATCCATGAGCCATCAGCCAAGGAAGCGTTTGATAACGATTGCTGGGATTGGTGGGAACCTCTACAAAGTGTATCTCAGCATGCGCGGCTGACTTGGTGAGGACAAGTAGTTTGTCAATCCAAAAAAAATCCAAAGTGCAGTATAAACCCGGTTTGAATGTGATTTTTAGGTTACTGGAAATGTACTGTACATGGATGTGATTCCACCCCGCAAAAAATTTAATTCACATATTTGAAAGTCAGATGAAAATTCCAAAGTTTTGAAATGTTTATTGGTTTGTCAAAGGTAGAAACGCAAAATCACATTTCATTGATGTGACCCTCGACCCGACACAATTGATGTCCTGGTTTTGGTTCGGATTATCTGCGTTGACTTCTAGTCATGTTTTCCATGTCCGCATGTTTGCAACGCTTCTGTCATCGTGTTTTCCCCTATCATCTCCCCGCCCAAGTGCATCATCCTTTAAGTGCCTGTGAACAAAGGGGGCAGAAGTACTGTCCCGTCAATTCAAATAGTTTCTCAAGTGGGCCATGGGCCTCTTGCCTGAAAAAACGCCACTCAAAACCAAGTTTGAAGACCGTGGATATTTTTTGTAATCATGAATTGGTCTGAATTGGTCCTGTCATTTGGAATCTAAGGTTGAAGAGTTTGTGTATGCAGCGATTTGTTCAAACCAAATCACAAAAATCAAGGCAGCTGAACCTCCATTTAACACACAGATGTTTGCAAGCTGGCCACACCTTTGAACCTAAAAAAGTTGCTGGTGCAGTCACATGAATCAAACCATGATTCAGCATCCCCGTTGGGCGTTCAACTTAGGGTGCAGCACCAGGTTTTCATCCCAAACACCTAGCTTAAAAACCTGGGGGGCGGCGGCCAAGGTATGAGCAAAAAAAAGTGAGACGATGAAAAGCCGACCTCACCCCTATTTCTGAAAATGAAAAATCAAGGTGCAAAAGATTAAACTCAGTGTCTCTGGGGTATGTTAAAAATTAAAAATAAGAATGGCACAAGAGATGAAAACAGCAGTGCTCAGCGTGTGTTCAAAAAAACCTTAAACTATAATAAAATCATAATTTCCCCAGAGAACGGTCAACCACATCCTTTTCATCCCACCCAGTTTCCGCTCCCACATCGTATCAATGCCTTGTTGGCATAGCAAATGCCAAAGTTTTCAACGTTGGCATATCAAACAAACATTTTTTTGAGGTAACGCTCTCCATGTTACACTGTTACACCACGCATTTGTGCCAACCCATCCTGAACCAAAGCCCCAAAGATACACCACTAAATTTCACATCCTTAGGCCTTAGACTTTCATCTCACACATCGCTCTTTTGAACTGTGCCGGAGCAGCTCTCCATGTTACACCACGCATTTGTGCCAACCCATCTTGAACCAACGTCCCAAGACACACTACAAATTTCAAATTTTAATCTCACACATCCTTTTTTTGAACTTTGCCGGAACAACGCGGAAAAGATTACCCCACGCATGTATGCCAACCCATCCTGAACCAACGTTCCACAGACACACCACAAAACCTCAGACCCCAAGATTTTCATCTCACACATCCCTCTTTTGAACTTTGCCGGAGCAGCTCTCCATATTACACCTCGCATGTATGCCAACCCTGAACCAATGTTGCAAAATTACACCAACATAAACCCCAAACAGCAACAACGCATGTTTCCACCAAGGTCATGTGCAATTCAAAATTCATTAAACTGTCTGACACACTCCTGTCTTCTGTTTTACTCCTTCATTACTTCAACCGTGCAAATACGAGGCAATAAAAGAGACGCCCCGACACTGAGAAAATAAGCTTCGGTGGTATCCCCAACAGCCAGCCGCAACGTTTTATTTTTACAAAATTTTCTGAAGCGTGCTGCAAAGCCAAGCGCTGGAAACCGTGTTGAACATGTTGAACCTGACCTGGCCCTGCACCCTTATTGTTTCACGTCAACACAAAGCACCGCGCCAAGAAACCCTCAAACACGAAATAAGAACATTTGATCAACTCCGCCAAACACCGCAAACGAATTCGAACGCCGTCACTTCCATAAAAATTCCAACGTCTGAAAAACGTGAGATCGCCAAAAAACATTTCATACCAAAAAAAACGTAAAACATCGTTCAAAACTGACTCAAACGATGGATTCACTCGCACAGCTCCTTCTTTTTTGTCACGCTGCAGGGAGAGTTCAAACGGATCGGTTTGGTTGGAGAAGCTGCCCAACACACCCCGAGCCTAACCCCACTAAAGAAGGTGGCTTGGCACGACAATCCGAACTCTTTCACATCCTGGCAAAAGTGGGTCACTGAAGGAGAGAGACGAGATGGTGAATCCGAAATGTTCGAGTGGCTCGGTACCGTCCAAGGTATCCTTGAAGCCTTTTTTGCATGGTATCGTGAACACTAGGGGGGGCTTAAGGGGGGCTTCAAGGGGGGCTTCAAGGGGGGCTTCAAGGGGGGCTTCAAGGGGGGGCTTAAGGGGGGCCTTAAACCGGCGGGCTTCAAGCGGGGGGCTAAGGGAGGGTTACGGGGTTTTTTTTCCTTAAGGGGCGGCTAAGGTGGGCTTACGGGGGCTTAAGGGGAGGCTTACGGGGGGTTTCCTTCAAGGCGGCTTCAGGGGATGCTCAAGGGGGGCCTTAAGGCGGGGCTGGCTTAAAGGGGGGCTTGGCTTCAATGGGGCGCTTCAAGGGGGGCTTCACAGGGGGAGGCTTAAAGGGGGGCTTAAGGAGGGGCTTAAGGTGGGCTTCAAGGGCGGTTTCCAGGAGGGGCTTAAGGGGAGGCTTGAGGGGCGGCTTAAGGGGGGGCTTCAAGGAGGCTTCAAAGGAGGCTTCAAAGGGGGCTTCAAGCGGGGTAGTAGTAGTAGTAGTAGTAGTAGAAGTAGTAGTAGTAGTAGTATTAGTAGTAGTCGCAGTAGTAGTCTTAGTAGTAGCAGCAGGAGTAGTAGTAGTAGTAGTAGTAGTACTAGTAGTACTAGTAGTACTAGTAGTACTAGTAGTACTAGTAGTACTAGTAGTACTAGTAGTACTAGTAGTACTAGTAGTACTAGTAGTACTAGTAGTTACTAGTAGTACTAGTAGTACTAGTAGTACTAGTAG